TGCTTAATTTTTTAAGTTTTATAATGAGTTTGTTTGGAGCTGATTTTTTTAGGTGAAAATTTATGGTTTGAAAAAATTAGAGTTAAAAAAATTTCTCAAAATCGTTTGAAGTATTTTTTAAAAAGCTGAATTTTTTTTTAAAAAAATCCGTTTATAATGATTTTCTAATTTTTTTAGTTTTTTTGTGTTAAAATAAAAATAAAAATTATATATATGTATAAATTATGTATAATTGTTCCCAAAATATGAAATTCAAAGTTTTTTACGTCACTAATAATATTTTATGAATATAATAAACTAAAAAGTTATGTGAGATCTGCAATAAAACTCCCAAAAGTCCAAAGGAAAACTCATAAAATCAGTTTCTTAAATTAGCATAAATGAGTTTTTTTAGGTCCAAAAAAATTGTTGCATAAATTGGTCCAAAAGTCGAGGTTTAAGAGAACTTGACTTATTTTACTCTAAAACTTATAGCATCAACCTATTTTATTCAACTTTAAACAGGTTTTATGTCATTCGACACGAGTTATTGTTAGCCTATATATATGGATTTGAAATGTCAACCATGTTTGATCATCTGACCACCCATGTGAGGCGGAACGCTACCATTAATTCAGTAGTTAAAAGATTATATGAATCACATGGTCCAACTATTCATGGTGTGAAAAAACAAAAAAATAGTTAAATGTTCCTAATCATCTTAGTAAGCTAATGATTTTCGATACAAAAAGGTATTGATTGACGCCACCGGTGTTCATTTTTTTTTTTTTTATCCCGTGTCCATAAACTTCCTTTGTCCTCTGAGGAAGGTCTCATATAGGGATGTCAAATTTGACATGTTGATACGAATTTGAGGCAGTACAATTATAAAATCGACATGATTATTAAACACATATAATAAATGATTTATACTAATACTTGACCCTCAAAAGACACTAAATATATATTTTTTTGTTCGTGGGTTTTGACACGACACACACGGATTACACTACAAGTTGGACCGAACATAATTTTTGAGCTACAAGACTACCTAATAACACATGATCGGACCCCTTAAACTAGGGAAAGCCATGTGAGTATGTAAGACCTTCCTTGGAGGACAACATAGAATTTGAGGTTATGCTAGATCAGGATCCTCCTAGCTATGTTAGCTAGTAACTTGGTGTAGATTGTATTTGCCGACTTAGTTTCATTAAGTCAATGAACTGCCATTAATAAATATGTGCATAATGACAACTAGGGGTGTAAAAAAATAATTTTAACACGATTTTAATTTAGCCGTTCACGTATACTTGAGCTGGGGTGTAGAAAACCTGAGACCCAACTCAGATCCAATTCATACTAATAAATTCGGATTCATTCCAAACTTCACCCATAGTTGTATAACAACAAAATAAAACCAAAATAGTACTTGATGTCAATATGAGAATTGAACCTGAATTTAAGCATTGATGGTTCTATGATTTGAAATCAAATTTCTATTCCACAAAAATGAAAATTTTAAAATTAACATTGAATCTGAATTGGCTTCTCAACTCTTCCAAGTTTTAGCATTGATTGCTATACTATTTCAACCTCAAAATGTTTGTTTATGCACTGATTAAGAAAGACATATTTAATCTCAATAGTAGTTTAAGTGGTAATAGGAACGAGCTGTAAATTTAGACGATTTGAATTTGAATATTTGTAATCCCTTGGGGTCAGGTTATGCAAGATTTATCTTTTATGAATATTTTTGTCCCGGCGTAGATGGAGCCTTCTTTGATCGGACCGGAGAGAAAATTAATCGAGGTGCGCATAAATTAATTCAAATACCTTTGACCGTTGAACCAAAATAAATAAAATAAAATAAAGAAAGGCACATTTAAACGAGTGCCTAGCTGAAATAAGCTGTTTGAGAAACACAATTTGCATCAAAATATGCCAAATTCTTTGTAGTACTTGTTTACATCAATGCTCCAAGCTAGCTCTCATGCCCCTAGTGGTGCTTTGGGAAGATTCAATTTGACTTATCTATGGTTTAATGGCCGGTGGCATTTGCACTAAAGAATGAAGTAGGAGGAGAATAGATAATTAACCTCATACTACCATGCACGTTACTTGGATTTGATTCCCCAATAAACCTCAATAGCGCCCCCCACCCCCCCACCCCAAAAAAAAAAAGGGTTGATGGACAAGGGTTGGATTAGCAATCAACTCGTGTGGGTCGAACTAATGTTGTGTATTTTGAGTTTGTGTTGAATACCACTAAACCGAGTTAACCCGCATAATCTGTAATTCAAAAATCTACTACTAAGCCCTTATAATCTTTCGATCAAACTTACCACTCATAAGCTAAAAGTCTGATAAATCCCATATAATAGTAAAAACTTCTCATTTTTTTAGGATTGATGTCGATAGTTAAAAAAAATGACAAAATTCGATATTTTATTCTTGTCAAATTGGGATTATTCGTGTTTAACATTAACTCGATTTATTTATATTTCGTATTAACATGTCTTTTTATTTTTTAATCTGTTAAAAATTAATCACCTTTAACATACTAACTTCTTCTCTGGTCGCGTCGTGTCGAAAATTACTCTTAAACACGCTCAAGGCTGGGCTTTAAAGGCCAATGTGGAGACTCAAGCTAGTATAGGTTACATAGCCATTTCCATTTTGTAGTCAGTGCTGTTTCAATTGTGATTACTGCCTTCAATTCCAAATTGGCTTCAATTTTTCGATTATGTCAAGGCCCAAGTCCAATTTCAAATTGCCTGTTGAAGTTCATTTGAACTCAAGCCTCAGTGGCTTTCTGGCCCATGAATTCTTAATTTCAGACGGTCATTATACAACAGATACGACATATCGATGGCCCAAAATCAAACAATTGGTCCATCGGTGGTTAGCCCATTCTTTCTAATATTAATGTACATTAAAAACCGAATATTTAACTGTAGGTACTTTTTTTTGTAGAACTTATTTGACTTTAAATATCACAGTCAAAAATATACTCCATTAAATCTTATTTTTCATCAAATTATTGTCATTAAGTACACATTTCAAAAAGTAATCATATTTGAATCTAAAAATCTAACCTAATTTGCTAACATAATGATGTGACTTCAGTGAAATCATTGGATCAACACCAAGTTTCAATATTTTATGAAACCCACAGTTAATCCAAATATCATAATGAATTAGGTTAATAAATTAGGCCTCAATAGCATTGCTCACACAATGTCACTATACTGCAATAATTAAGTTTTAAATTAATTTTTTTATTGAACGTGTTACTACTTTGATGTTACTGCTTTGATGTTAAATAGATAGATAGGATAGAAAAATAATTTTAACAGTAGTACAATTCTCAAGTTTGGAGTTGTTAATATTAATATAATTTAAGAGTTAGGAGTTAGGAGTTAATTTTTTCAAACAAACTTTGATTAAATATAATTATTGAGGGTATTTTAGACAATGGAGATCAAAATGAACTCATTCTCAAACAAATTTTTTGAGTAGACTTAAGTTCAAATAAGTTTAAAAAAAAAAGACCAATCTCCAAAGGGCACTTAAAGAAAACACCTTGTGTGTTTGATACATTAGGAACACCATGTAATCCACTCTTTTTTCTTTTGTGATTAAAATATTTATTGGAATTAAAGTATAAACAAATAATTAAGTCAGCAATTAACACTTGATAGTGTCTTGAGCCCTATATAATTTTTGGGCTAATTTCCCTTATCGAAAAATGAGATTTTTATTGAATTTGAGTTTGTTAAGGTGTAAAATGACTCTCACATCTATTAGTAATAAGAGAATTTTGGATTATATAAACAAGCGGATCACTCGTTTTACTAATTGCACCTTTTGGGCAGTAAAGACATGCCCAAGAGAGTTTGCTACTCCAACCATTTACCACACAAAGATAAGATCTATCATAACTCAAACAAATTTGATTTGTTTCATTGCTATGAAGCTATTGCTCCAAAATCTGTTGCAATTGATTGAATCGCCTCAATCGACATATAATTCTTAAGTGATTGTTTGTAGATGGATTCAAATGTTTTGTTTCAAGGCTTCCTTGGATGAATTTCTTCAAGTGATTGTTTGTAGATGGGTTCAAATGTTTTGTTTCAAAACTTCTTTGGATGAATTCTTAAAGCGATTAACACATAGAATAATGAATCAATAAAAATAAATTATTTTATTAATTCAATCGAAAAAATTTCAGTTACTGAGAGACTGAATTAACAACATTTAATTACATCACTAACTATTTCTTAAAACTAATTTTACCACTACTCAAAACGGATTTGGGGTACAATCATGTGTAAAGTACGCTACGGTTGGTTTGCCATCAAAAGAACTCAAGTTGAATTTTTTTTTGGATCAATAAGAAGAGGAGTTAACTAGAAATCTACTAACAAAGTAAATGCCCTCATCATGGTTTGTGTTTTTTTTTGTGGACAAAATTGTTACGCTGACTAAATTTTGGGACCAAATTTAAAATTCAAAAGACATGACAGCATATTATTGGGAGTTTTTATTAGACCCCAAATGGCATGACACCACATAAAAAAATCCAAGTTAGCTGTCATGTCATTTAGGCTCCAAATTTGATTCCAAAATTTAGTCAATGTAGCATTACTTGGGGGATGTTTGAGTTGTTTTCAATTTCCTTCTTTTCTTCCTTTTTTAGCCATTTCTTTTTACAGTTTTTCTTTATCGACATTTGATTGACTTTGTAACTTCTAGACAATTATTTTTTTTTCAAATCAAAACTGTGACTGATCATTTTCCGTCTTTTCTTAAAATCTTGACACGTGATAACTTTTTAATGATTCTAGACTTGCAAACAACCCATGTATCAAATATTTTTATAATTTTATATTTTAGGTTCAAACAAAATCAAATATTAATATATCCAAAACAAAAATGTACATTGAAATTATAGATCAAGGCCATCGATTTACATCGAAATCTCCTTATTCGATCAAATCCGAATTCACATTAGTTTCATGAATAGAAGGTCGGCCTTGCATGCATGGCTTCCACGTTTGGTACTAAAGAAAGCACGTGTTAAGCTCATATTTAGCTTCATGTCAACAACTCTTTGCTGTCCCTCCGCCGACTACTTTCAAAAACTCAAACTCTCTCCCAGGAACCAGCAAAAAATCATCTCTGTCTCTCTTCCAATATTCTATCTTCGGAAATTTTCATCTTTGAGCATGTCTACGGCACCAAGAGGTGAGCTCACTCCACAGCAAACCTCTGTCTCTCTCTCTCTCTCTCTCTCTCATGTCACAGATAATTTGTTGCAGATTTAGTGAAAGATATATTCCTTTGGAGGAAGAAAGATCTGAGTATAATCGTTCTGCTCGTGGCAACGACGATATGGGTGCTACTGGAGGTTTATCAATTCAACTTCATCACCGTTGTTTCTTGGGTAGCCATGGCCATAGTTACTGCACTGTTTATATGGGGTAACATTCAAAGACTTCTCGGCAAGTAAGGCCTCAATAAATTATTTTTTTTTTCTTTTTATAATATTGGTGAACTGTAATCTAATAAAAAAATGAGAGGTTTTCGGAATGGATTTCTATGGTTTCAGATATCCACCAAACCTGTCGGGTTTGGAGATTACAGAGCAGTCTGCAATGGAGTTGGCGAATTCGATTGGAGAATTGATTGAAGAGGGAATTCGATTGGTGTTTCGGGTTGGTGCTGAGAGCGAGTGGTATGTCTTTGCTGGAACTACAGCTGCTTTGTGGGTACTTTCCCAGCTTGGAAGCTACTGTGACCTACTCACAATTCTCTATTTGGGTAAGCTAACATTCTAATTAATTATGGAACATTTATATTTTAATAGTAATTTTTTTTTATTTAGTTAATTTTAAGTTAAAGTGGGGAGGAAAAAGAGAGGGTACGTGCAGATTAGTGGGTTGTTTGTCAAGTTGTTTGATATTGTGGGTTGTTTGTCAAATTGTTTGATATTGAAGTTGTGTAGAAAAAATGATGTTTTTAGAGGGATGAATTTTTTATAATTGGTTCAAAGCATATAAAATTAGATTAATCTTAATCGTTCTCGTATTTTTATAAAGTTAGAATTCAACTATGAGTTTGATTTTGACCATGAGGGTATCGATTTAAAACTTCAATACGAGCTCTGAGCTTGGTTCGTTGAATATGAGCCTAGCCAAGTTTGGACTTAGGCTCATTTGAATAAACGATCCCAAATTGAGCAGAGCTCGAGCTTGAAAAAAATTTCACGAGTTGATCTTGGATAAAATATTTGTAATTCTGCATGGTTGTCAATCATGCCCTGTTGTTTTATTTTTGTGTTGCATTACTTTCGATAATTCTTATATTTGTGTCAATAAAAAATTATTTAATTCTATAACAATTCATATAATACTAACAAAAAAATTTTAAAAATTTATCTTTTGTTTACAGTTATTGTTAAATACCAAGTTTTTATTTTCAGTACTCATTAATCGTATTATTCGTGTCTAACTTTAATTTGACTTATTTATTATTCGTGTTAATTAGTTATGTCATTTTTGAGTTTTGTGTCGGGTTGTTATATATATATATATATATAGTTATTTACTAATAGTGAAATATTTATTAGTACAAAATCATTTGTATGAATTGACATAAACATTAAATACATCTATATAATAAATCAAGTAACAAGTTGAATATTTATTCCATATACATTTACCCCCAAATATACATTTACCCCCCAAAAAAATCATATTATGAAATTTTATCACATGTTCAATCATTTAATATTTAGTTAATTTATAATTTAACACAATTTTTATTTTATTCATTATTCATACACGATAGTGTACATAAGTTACAAAAAAATTATCGAGTTATACATTTTGAGAAAATTTTGAAGTTATTTTTAAGAAAATAATATGTAAAAATTAATTTTAAATGAGGTAAGCAAAGAAATTAATTTTAAATTTGGTATAGTATAATCAATTTTTTTAACGCTAGAATCTTATATTTGATCGTGTCTTTAAACATGAGTTAAGTTTAGTGTGTGTATATAAAGTACAATAGTACTTCTAAATTGATATTGGTGGGAAAGTGAAATTTTTACTTTCCTTTAAAACATTTGGAACATGTGAGTTGAAGGGCAAATACATGAATCTCACATTGGTTCTTGGATATGTTCTTCATGGATTCATCTTCTCCTATAAATAGAGGAAGAACTTTATCCTTCACTCAATATCTCAAGGAATCCTCTTAAAAAGAAGACCTACATAATGAGATCTTCAATTTATATATATATAAGAAGAAAAAGAAAGAAGAAAAAGAAGAAATAAAAGGAAGGAGACGACGTTCAAATGCTCAAAGAAGAAAAAGAAATAAAAAGAAGAAATAAAAGGAGGGAAGCGACATTCGAACGCTCAAACATAATATATATATAGAAGAAAAAAAAGAAAGAAGAAGAAGAAATAAAAAGAGAGATGCGACGTTTGAACGCTCAAACAATGCTTCGAACGTGTTTTGCTCTCAATACTTTTTCAAAATATCAATTTTTGATAGAAATTGAGATACTGAGATTTCGATTTTTTTTGAATGGAACCCACGTTCGAATGTGACTTGTTCCCAATACTTCGATAAAAATTTCAAAATATCACAGAATTGAGATACTAAGAATTGAGTATGTTCAAACGTAACAATCTCATTCAAACGTGACACATATTTTGTTTGAAATTAGTTTCTAACGATTATATTATTGTAGCTCTTTTAAGGGGTGTCTTCTGTCATGGTTTTGAAGGGTTACATTCCTTCATTGAAAGATGCATATAACACTATAAATAGGGTTCAAACGCAATAACAAAATATCAACAATTTAATTTTTTTTTTCCTTGATTCAAAACTTCTATATTTTCTGATTTTCTATTCAGGATGAGTTTTGATTCAAGATTATTAAAGAGTACAATATTTGATAATCTTAAAGTTAGGCATTATATTCTGGGAGTAGAATTTTCAAGAGTCCATCAACATTAGAAGTGGGGAAATTACTATCTTGAATATAGCGAGTGTTGCGCCTTATTTAACGATCTATCTTCTTCGATTTTTGATTCGTTACTTTTCTACTACTTAAAATTATTTTAGCACACTATTTTCTACAACACGGGTCTTATCCCTTACCAAAGAGTCACATTCTCGACTTAGTTGACTTCATTTGCATTTTTGCTATTTTTTTTTTTGCTGTCCAGAGTTTTTTTTTAAATTTGGTTGTTAATTGATTGGTGGTGGTGGTGGCGGTTGCAGGGATTGTGGTGGGTATGACGGTACCTGCAATTTATGTGAAGTACGAATATAAGATAAGGAAATATGAGGGGCAATTTAGGACGAAGTTTCAAATGTTTTACAAAATGATAGATGAGAAGGTGTTGATGAAAATGAAGAATATGGTAGGAAGCTTCGCAGGAGAGAAGAAACAGAAAGACAAGAAAATGGAGTAGCACTTCCTCTTTATTTACTTTTTCCTTGTATGAAAAGTACTTATATTTGAACATTATTGTGCAGTCTTGTTCTTTGTTTAGAAATAGTACACAAACTTTTTTTTGTATATAATAGTTTTCCATACACCTCTAAAATTTAATGGTGGAACATTTTTAGTGCGGCGGTGATAATGGTTAGGGTTAATTATTGAGTTGAGTTTTACGAGTTTCAATCGAATTTGTTAAAAAAATTTTTTAAATAAATTAAATGCTTTGTACAGAACCACAAGAAATGAAAATTACACAAAAGCCTCAATTGTGTTCGTTATAGCGACGCCAACTTATCTATTGTTAATAGATTGAATTTTGATCCAAATTTGAATTTAATTAATTGATTATGGATTTAAAATGTTTATCGATATTTCGAGCTTGAATTTGTTATTTTATATTTAATGAATTTGAATTTAAATATATTTATATTCAATTAGATTATTATCCAATTTAAAAAATATATATTTTATATAAATATAAATATTAAAAAAAATTAGTTGAAATTTAGATATAATTTATTAAAATTTAATTATACGGATTGAATCAAATTTTAAATTATTAACAAAGTCAAATAGGAATTATGAAAATAAAACTTATCGAATAATTAAATTAAACTTTTCAAAATTAAATTCGGATGAGTTAAAATTCCATCCATTAACGCGCTTACCTACCAGCAGGAGTCGAGAGTCGAGAGTCGAGAGACATCCTTTGACCCTCAAACCTATCCGCGATCCGGAATAATTAAGGTTAGGTAATGTTTTTGTTTTTTTTTGTTTTTTTTAAAGGCATGTCATTATGACATTTGTTTTTACCAAATTACACTTCTTTTCACTTAACTTGCTTTAATCTCACTTCGTCTTTTGAAGTACTAAGCTTATCACATTATTTCGCCAATTATGGTTATTGATTTTACAATTTCTTTTTTGATAAATTATGGGGTAAAGTGCAACAATTTCTCATTCCATTTCATTACGGAGAGTGCAATAATTTCTTATTCAATTTATAATTAATGTTAATTATCATAAAAGTATAATATTAATGAGAGACATTTGGCAAGAACTATTACAGTCGTGCATTTTTAAAGTGAGAAATTCAACTTGAACACTTTTTAAGGCGAAAGATTAATAAAATATGTAATTAACAAAAATTTATATAATAAAATACAATACAATTCAAATTTAAAAAAATAAATAAAATAATTTTTATTTTTTGCAGTTTAAATCTATTTAAATTTTACTTTAAAATTAATCAGAGGACTAATATAAACATCCCAATTTTAATAGAAAAAATAGGTCTCTAAGGATGTGTTTGAGGTATTTTTTTAAAAGTGTTTTTAAAATTTATAATTTTTCATAAGAATTTTTTTTTAAAAAAATAGTGTTTGAAACTACCCCACCACCACCCCACCACTATTATTACTACCACCACCATTGTCACCTCACCACCACTATTGTCACCGCCACAACACCACCACGTCTGTCACAACAACCACGACCACCACTACCACTGTCGTTATCCCCCCCCCCACGACCACCACCCACTGCTCCACAGCTACCATTGCCCCCATCGACCTCATTACCACCACTACCATCACCACCCCACCAGTGCTCCAACACTACTATCCCCATTACTATTACTACCGTTGTCGTCACCTTATCACTGTCCCACCACACTCACTACAATCACTATTGCCGCCCACGCCTGCCACCATCACAACTGATCGTC